GCAGTTGAGGTCGAACCCCGTCGAAGCCTGGTCTCTTTTCTGCAATTTCTTTATTTGCAACTCACCCTCAAGGAACATTTCATGTTTCTGTTTTCTTTACGCTATGTCTATCATGTCATTACCTTTTGTAGGGCTGTTAGCAAGTGACATTTTGATAATCAACACTTTTCCATAATAGTTCTTCTTACAGAAATACGTACGAAGATCTTAGAAGGGGCACTCAGGAGGAACCCTATGAATTTCTACCAGTTGTAGAAAACAATATTGGTTTCATTATTGGGACGAAGGGTCAAACAATAAAGGAAATAGAAGAAACGTCAGGGGCGAAGATCAGTAGCCAGTCAAATAATGGTCACACTGGATTTACTCTTCGTGGTAATTTTTGTCAACGCGCCCGTGCAAGAAAGCTTATTCATGAGAAATTGGTAAGTGGCTACTAAAGAAAGTGGCTCTCAAAGGAAATGAAAACTATATCTGTAGTCCTAAGTCTTCAAATCTTCTATTTTTTGTTTATCTGTATTCATTGAAGGCAGACAATCTGGTTTTCAGTCAGTCATTCATTCAGTCAGTTAGTCAGTCATACAGACAGCCAATCAGTCAGTCAGTCGATAAGCCAATCAGTCATTTTGTCAGCCTGTCAGTACGTAGCCTGCGTGCAGACGGAACTTTCCTTCGTTAAGTCCTTCTGCGAAATAACAAACAAAACCGTGTTCTGAGACCCCCGGCAACTAGCGGGGAAATATATAGTCGATCATAATTGGCTGTTACCTCTACTGGTTCGAACGAGCCTTTTGATTGGCTCGCCTCCTCCCTCCAGTTTCTCGCTGAAGTTTACGAATGTTAGAGATATAGCGTCGTCGAAGTTTTCAGAAGAGTGTTGGAATTGTGCTTTCGAAGCGGTGAAAAGTTACTTTCAAGTCAATGATCTATTGTCAGACCACGGAGGTTGATGGTGTGAGAGCTTTCTTCGGAAAGGGAGACGCGTTCATTAATCTTCACACTGGATACGGCAAGTCTGTTATTTATCAATGCCTTCCAATCGTCTCGGACGTGCTGTTTAAAAAACCGCCAGGATCTAGTGTGCTTGTTGTAATTTCTCCTCTAACTGCTTTGATGGAAGATCAGTTGGAACGGATTAACAATCTTGGAATTCCCGCTGTAGAACTCACAAATGCAGATGACCCAGAAATAATTCGGCAAGCCATGAATGGCACTGAATTATGTGCTCGTGTACATCGGTGCGCGTTCTCTTCGGTGTGATTGAAAGATCGTCACTCTCGTGTGGTCGTTTGTTCTGTGCAGAATTTTTTGCCGAAACCCGGCTGCTGCGAAAGCCGTCTTCAATCTGTTTCGCCTTATTGAGGATACTACGTCATGTTTTAGTATTTACGCAAATACGACAAACATATTGAGTTCTATTTGCTACTTCAAACGGTAGCGTTTGTATTTCTGTGCGAACATTGAATTTTCCTCTGCCATCCACACGATATCTTTCACATTCCTTTTCAATATATTTGAAGCGAAGGTTACATTGACATTCACTGATTTCCATCTGCTGCGTTCAGTTACACTTACACAACTAAGACCCCGGTCAATCTGTCAAACTCACGTGCGAAAAACCAAAACCTCGAGCCAAAGCAGCAAAAGACTGGATCGAAGAGGCGAGCCAATCAAAAGACTCGTTTGAACCAGTAAAGGCAATATCCAATTACGATCGACTATAAACAGGGTTCGTGCGCGTCTTGAAAACCCTTGAAAACCCTTGAATTTCAGGAGGCCGATTTCAAGGCCTTGAAAGCACTTGAATTTCGTTTTGCGTCCTTGAAAGTCCTTGATTTTTATTGAACAACATCGAATAATATCTACTTTTGTTTTGCACCATCGGTAAACCCAAAACATAGATGTTAACAGAAACATTTTTCTTGGTTTTGAGGTAAAATTGTCATTAACAAAAGTCCTTGAAATTTCTAAGTAGGGTCCTGGAAAGTCCTTGAAAAGTCCTTGAATCTTTGGCCCTAAAAAGTGTGCGAACCCTGTATATATTTCCCTGCTAGTTGCGGGGGGTCTCAGAACACGGTTTTGTTCGTTACTTCGCAGACGGACTTAACGAAGGAACGAAGGAAAGTCCGTCTGCAAGCAGGCTAGTCAGTACGTCAGTCATTCAGTCAGCCACTCAAGCATTCAGTCAGTCATTCAGATAGCTTGTCAGTCACTCAGTCAGCCAGTCCGTCTGTCAGTCAGTCACTCAATAAGTCACCCAGTAACTAATTCTATCATATGGCAAGCCGGACAGGACAAAAGTATAGTGAAAAGAAGTTTACATGACGAGTTACAAATATCATAGTACGAGTTTAAAATTTCACTGGACGAGTTACAGTTTTACTGGATGCGATACAGTTTTTGTACTTCCAGAAGAAAGATTGCTGTACCAGAAAAAATTTTTTCTGCACGAGAAAAAAATTATAATGCCAGAAAAATTCTGATGGACGAGAAAAACTTTACTGCACGAGAATATCGATTGATTATCGATTAGTTTCGAAACATGGTCAGCTGTATTGATATTTTGTCATGCACATTAACAATCATTGATAACATGGCGGATCAGAATGTTGCTGATGTACAGTCGTTATTAAAGACTGTCCAAGATCTTTCTGAAAGACTTATTCCTCGCAATCATGCCATTAATAAAGAAGTATCAAGGATCTTCAATAGAGGCGGCACAAGGAACGTAAACACAACGAGTACACCATCAACAAGTTCAACAGTTCAGACTAGCAAAAACGCCGTTCAGTTTCCACGATTCCGGCGCCTTCAAAACAGTCGAAGAATTGGTCAAAATTTGACATCTAGGCGCCAGAGTCGTCCAGCAAACACACTGTTTCTCTGTGATGTGGCTCTTCTTAGTGGCCCCGATGATTCTATCGTCCCAAGACAAAGCACTAAACTGTTCTTAACGGAACGCGGCCACGTGATAACAGCTATCCGTTTTCACAAGGGGATGTCAGAAATAGAAGTCGAGACTACTATCCATGAGGCTTTCGGAGATTAATTCCTCCTTTGGTAAATATTGAGATCCTGCACTCAGTTCACCATTCTCTGGTAAAACCTGTCCCAGGTCGCGATAATCAAGGTCTTGATGGCACAATTATCCATAGATTATTTAAATCCAACAAGAGGCCCATTTTTGTCAGACCAAGTGAAGTCCTTATTCCCGAAATTGCACAGGTATGGTATTTATACATTCAAAATAAGTAAAATTATTTGTCATATATTGTTCATCTGGGATTGACCCATGGGCAAAAGGTGTCTACCTTACATGCCTTAAATACCTTGAATAACTTAAATAATTGGCCTTTGCTATTGCAATCATACTTGAATCAACTGGATCTGCATATGCTGGTTTTACGCTTTAAATTCAACCCTATCTCTTGATAAACATTGAGAAACATGGTTTTCTGGGTTACATACAATGTAAAGCCATATTTCAAATAATAAAAACTCAGAAAATAATGATAAAAATCATGAAAGACAGTCAGACGATGGACATTTGTCTTTTATTTGGCTCAATAATTATATTATTTATTATCCATACTGTATCTTCTTGATAGGACCAAGAAGAGGACAACATAGAAAAGATGAAAGCTAAGATCGATCTCTCAAATGATAAAGGTGAGTCAGGTAAATGTCTCTAAGAACATTGCACCATCTAAATCTGTGAATCACCATGTAAATCTGTAGATGAGAAATCAATGACTTTTTGCGGGCTTGACTCTGTATAGTTAGGTTTTATGCGGGTGAAAGATGCAAATGGGCCAATCACAGAGGACATGAAAGTTGAATATTTATTATTTATTTTCCTTGTGATTTGGTCATTTGTGTGTTTCACCTGCATAAAACCTAATTATACAGAGAGTCAACTCTGATTGGTCAATTTGCAGGTCAAGCCTGCAAAAAGTCATTGATTTCTCATTTACAGATTTAAATGGTGATTTACAGATTTAGATGGTGCAATGTTCCTTAGTACGAGCATCATTTATCTTTCCTAAATTGACACTAGTATTTTATCATAAACTAGATGAGAAAGATGATGATGTCTTCCTTAACTCGCCCATCTAAGTCTCTTCAAGTAGTCATGGAGTTAATCAAAATAGTACTTATCAAACTGACAATTTGGCAAAATTTGTAGGCCGATCATCCAGGTATATATATACTTTATGTGACATTCTTTCGAGATTTGCTTTGAAGACTCGTATCAAAGAGCCTTTCTCAGGACCACATCTACCCGGATGATCTACTTAACGATATTGTTACTTTGACATATATTCATGCATATAGTTTACACCTTTCTACATAATGAAAAATAGTAGTGGAAATAATCTGATGAGCTTACAGTGAAAAAAAATTATATATAACATACATAACTGCTATATTTAAACAGAGATTTTTGTCAGGGTTATTTATAGTGCTTTGAGAATGTATATGAGCAAAAAATACCCACAGTTTTAAAACCAAAATGTGTACCTTTTGGTTTGGGTATGCACCCTTTTGCACCTTCTCTAGGTACAGGCTTGCTCTGGGGCCTGCTCCCTCCCTTTGCCCATGAACTACTGTTTATGTAATAATCAAAGCAATAATTTATATTTTTTTTGAAAGGTTATGGTCAAGGTAGTCAACAAGCCAGTCAGACCACTCAAGCCACTAGTCAACCAACAGCTCAGATAACCCACGCAAGTAGTCAACCAACAGCTCAGACCACCCAAGCCACTAGTCAACAAACAGCTCAGACAACCCAAGCAACTAGTCAACCAACAGCTCAGACAACCCAAGCAACTAGTCAACAAACAGCTCAGAGAACCCAAGCAAGTTGTCAACCAACAGCTCAGACCACCCTAGTCGCTAGTCAACAAACAGCTCAGACAACTCCAGCAACTAGTCAACCAACAGCTCAGAACACCCAAGCCACTATTCAACAAACACCTCAGACCACCCAAGAGATCAGTCAGCCTGCTGCAGGGTCAAGTGAAACTGCAGCTTTTCAAATTGATGAAAATGACATTCCTCACTATGATAATGCGGTGTCTTTCGTTAAGTTAGCTGTTATTTTCCGCACAAATATCAGAAAAGATATCATTGAAATATTCTCACAGCCTGATATTTTGATGTGCCACCTTGATCTTGTTGTCTATGATGAACGTGGCGAAGTGGAAAAAGGCAAAGGAAAGGGAGCTCTGTTAGATGTATTCACAGCATTTTGGCAGGAATTTTTTATGGGTTATGCTGTTGGAAGTACTGAGGAAATTCCTTATGTTAGACATGACCTACAAAAGCCCCAGTGGGAGTTAATAGCAAGAGTTCTTGTCTATGGCTATCTGTATCGTAAATATTTTCCACTCTCCTTGTCCAAGTCATTTGTGATGTCATGCCTGTTTGGAGAACAAGCTATTGAACCAGAGGATTTGGTGCAGTCTATCAGAGATTTCATTACACATGAAGACCGTGAAGTATTGAATATGTGCTTGAGTGAAGAGTTTGATCCAAATGATGAAGATGCTCTACAATTCCTCAGTTCCTTCAAATGTTTCAGGGTTCCCACCAAAGAAACCATCCACAAAACTGTTCAGGAGCTGTCTCATCAAGAGCTTATACAAAAGCCAAGGTACATTCTTAATTGTTGGTCACCATTAGTAGCACATCTAAAGTCAGATCCCAGCTTCAAGTCTAAAGAAGGGATCATGGAATTGTATGATGCCAAGCAACCAACTCCAAAGAAGGTAATCAAGTTGTTCAAGGCTGAACCATCAAGCGAGCAAGAGCACCACAGTTTTGAACACCTCAAGAGATTCGTCAAATCACTTGAGGGGAAATCTCTGCAAAGGTTTCTTCACTTCTGTACAGGAAGTGATGTAATCACATGTCAATCTATTGAGGTCCAGTTTTCTCGTGATGATGGATTTGCGAGGCGTCCAGTTGTCCATACCTGTGGACCCATGTTGCAGTTACCATGCACCTACGAGTCATATCCTGAACTTGCAGAAGAGTTTACAATGATGAAAGAAGGAGCTGCATGGCCTTTTGAATTGGTTTAGGATACTGCTTTATGGTTGTTTACATTTGTTATAAAATTACTAGATTCATGATTTTGATACAGATAAAGGATAAAGGACACAGCTTTATGAATTCATGATATAAATTAATGATTTTGATTTTTTTGTTAAGATTTTAATGTTAGGATTTAGACAGGGGAGCCACTGCCATTTTAACTTTCGTAGTTTATTTTAGATAGATCTTTTTTCCTAGTCCAATTGTTTCTCTCAGCATTCAACAAATGATCCATTAGAATAGCCACAATTTAAACACTAAATGTACAGTTTTTGAAATGACTTTGAACTGGCCAAATTCTTTTTCTGTTGTTACGTGATCTTTAAAAATTGGTTTTAGACAATGTATTGAAATAATAGTGCAAAAATTGTATAACTGAGATTTGAAGAGTAAATTCTGGCTTCTTGTAGATTGGGGTGAGTAAAATCACATTGAAACTTAGGTTTAAGTACAATATTATGGTATATTTACGAGGATTTCAAACCATAACAATGGTCATGTATGGAACTGGTCAGTTTAATAATTATAAGTTAAAGCATAGTTAGTAGAGGGAGAGACTCTTGTTCTTCGGCCATCGAAGTTTGATAAGAAAAACAACACATAAAGCGGTTATAAACATGGTGAAGCAATGCATTTTATAAAAACAGACTTGACGTTTCGTATGTCACAACATACATTCTCAAAAGTAACCGTTAAAAGATGAAAAGCTATCTATATTCAAAACAAAAATAGCGAGCGATCTGGGAAAAACTAAAAATAGTAGTGACGCGTTAATAAAGTGACAACATGTCACTGGTGAGGTTAGCATTCAAAGCTGGGTTCAATTCTTGTATAAACAAGGTTTCCTTATTCTTACAATGTTAGTCGGTTTTCCCCGACGCGAGGATTTCAAAATTACCCCATTTAATATTATGACCAGTAGTCATAACATGATTGTCAATAGCTGATGTGTGCTATGTTTGGAGAGCGCTTTAAAATGTTCAGTTTTTCTATCCATCAGTCGTCGCTTCGTTTTGCCGATGTAGAAATCACTGCAGTCCCAGCAACTTGCTTTGTAAACAACCGTTGACCTTTGGGAACAATTTAGGCGGTCTTCGTAGGGGAAGAAGGATGTTATCCGCCGACTGTTAACAAAAATAGCCTTGAGATTAAAGATGTTCAAGATGGAATAAAACTTATAAACACAAGATTTAAGGCGTTTCGCTATCTGGTTGCTCTCTAGACCTAAATAAGGTAACAAAATTATTAAATCCTTCTTTGGAACGGTAGAGATTTGGATGTTAGGCTTGTTTCTGTTTTTCTTTATAACCTCGTTAATTTGAAAATTGTTATGAAGATTGTTCAACTTTTGTGTGCCAAGGACTGCGACACACTAAATGTTATACTTATTTTAAAAAATTGTATACATAGTTAATATTAAATGACATTTTTGAACATTTTATAGGATTTTTCATATTTTGTGAGAAATTGTTAATATTTGTTACATATCATTGTAAGCGTTTTTGTTTTGTTAATGTTGCATATGATTATGGATTGATTATGAACACATGTAGTTCATCACACTGATGATTATGAGTGATTTTAATGATGATCTTAATCTAATTAAAAACGTAAGTGCTATTGTATTTGCTTTATTCTTTTTATTTACAAGTCATGTTGGAGTTATTATTTGTCTTGTCTGCTGGTCTTTTGCAACATAATCGGTTTTTGTTTATAAATGTGATCAAAGAACTGTAAACATTAATTTTTAAATGAACCACAAGAAATGTTGACACAACTAAGCATTTAGTCCTTATATATTTTCAATGGTGACAAAGCAACTGCAAAATTGTCATAACAGAAAACAATGTAAATACTATGAACCTACATCTATCTTTGGGGCTGCCTACAATGCAAATTGTATCACATGATAAGATTCATCTATAACACCATTATGAAATCTCATTGGAAAGTTTCCAGAATTTGCAGGACAGACAAAAAGTGATTTATCCCAGAGTTTCCATCATCAGATAATGGTTCAACATTTTCCTTCAACTGTTGATTTTCACTCCGCGCTTGGCCCGTTGTTATGGAATGTTTTCCAGAATGACCTATCCTACTGCCTAACAGCGAACTTGTCTATGTATGCCGACGACCATCAAATTTACCACGCAGGAGCAGACCAGGCAGCCGTGACATCCCAGTTAAAGGACAGTGCCAACTTAGCAACAACGTGGTACAATTCTAACTTATTGGCGGGAAACCTCAAAAAGTACCAAGTTTTGAACTTGGGCTCCACTCAAAATGACAGCAATATTTGCGTGAATGATGTTGTGATTGAAACTAAAGATAATATCATACTTCTAGGAGTAGTGTTAGATTCTAAGCTAAATTTCTCTGAGCATGTAATCTCTATTTGTAAAAAAGCCAGCCAGAGAATTGGTGTTCTAATGAGACTACGTAATTTAATTCC